GTAATGGTACTCTCAATGAGACGGGGTTCGATTCCCTGTGGTGCCCTGCTGATTGTTCTGACATAAACAAAAGCATTTTATTGTTAACTTACATTTTGACACTTTTAATGCTCAAAACATTCCATTATTAATGAGTGAGCGTATTTTGTTAATAGCTTTGTTACGAACAATGAATTGTCTTTAATGAAAGTATTCTCAAATTTAAAGAGCAAGTCACCTCCATATCAACTTTTTATTTGCTGATAAACTATACAAATGAGTGTCTAATTGTGCTGTAGACACGTGTAGTCAACAATTTGGCACTTAGGGCATCTCAGCATAACTGTCAGTGTTGCACCAGTGTCAGGAAAAACTCTACACAACATTTTAATTTAAATCTGCCACCGCTATTGGCTAAGAGGTCCACAATGATGTTAGCTGGTACATTATGATGTCACAATACTGGTGTGAGCCTGTTTGTGTATGTGTGTATCTGTTAGCAGCTCTGCCCTCTCGGTCTGCCAGGCAACAGCTTTTGTTGCATTTTTCAAACAGGAAGTGGGAGTGGAGTAAGACTTTCAGTAAAAAAAACAGGATCAGATTGATGACAGTGTCACAATGCTGATGTTATTGCAGAAGTAATGGCACTATGCTGATGCTGATGAAAATGACGCTGATGAAGATGATGATGTACTGCCAAAGTTTGTAATAAAATAATTCAGATAGGAGTTCAGGGCTGTTTCTTGTCTGGGTACATTGTGTGCGTCTGGGTAGTAGCTGTGGAACTACCCTGTCCACATGAGGGCCCCACAATTGGTTGACACCTTTAAACATAACCTAAAACCTATCTTTTTAGAAGTTGTGTGTTTCCATAAACCTGCAGTGTTGTGAGTTTTCACACGTCTACAGAATTTATTTAAATAACAATAATATAATAACAGTGATGCTCATAAACATTTGAATGTGCTTACACGTTTATGCTGTTGGTTTAAAAGCAACATGCTCAGAAACAACGCGTTGTTGTTGTTATCTGCCCAAAATCATGACTTTTTCAGGAAGCACACAGATAAGAAATATGTTAATGATACAAATTAATTTAAAGTGGCTGTGTGTTTTTTCCCTGGCAATAGGGAGCAGTGCATATCTAAATCAATGCAAGCAAGCTGTAATTTTGTCTTAAGAGTAAAACCTAATTAACGGATAGCCCTTGGGGCAAAAAATCCATAGAAGCTCATTTTTCAAACAAGTACTCTGTCAGATCAACCTCTAGAAAAATGACAAGAACATCAGATTTCCTGAGGAGGTAAATGTGTAAAATAACAACGTTTACAAATGGCGAAAGTCTTGTAACCACTTTTACAAATCAGAAAAAGTGTTTAGTCCTCACAGGCTCACGTAGAAGGAAATGTTGCATCTAATATGGCGTCTGGGCAGCTCCTGGATCTCTGGGGCTTGGAGCTCCCTCCTTCTTCTACACGTCTTTCGGGGCAGATCTGTTGCCCCTCTCACTCTCTATTGGGCGCTCCTATAGAGAAACCTTACATATACAAGCGCGTGAACGCACACAGGTGCTCACATGGCGCTCTCATAAGTATGGACTTGGGCATTTTCAACACATGTCTTAAGGCTGTGGTTGGCACTAAATGCACTGTGATTTATTATTGTGTGGTTGTTCAGTAAAACAATGTTGATTTATATTTCCTCATCAGGTTGATGCAATGATAGCTTGCTCTTGTTGTATTGTTGTGTGTCCCCCCTTTTTTTTGTTTAATTTTCTCTTTCTGCAGGTCTAGAAGCAGACCTTTTGTTTCTTCCTTTCTCTTTCACCTCTGTCTCCATGTCTGGTCGAAATTATAAAGCATCCAAAAAGCAATAACAATCAAGTTTTAAGTATCAGGCGTGACATTAAAGCAGAAGCTTTGATGTTCCACCTGAGAGTATAGCTGTTAGACTTGTCACCAGCATTCAGACATCAATTCTGTTTGCTTCACAGCCAGACAGGACACAGGAAAATAAAGAAACAAATAAACAAACAAACAAACAAATAAATAAACAAATAAATAATAAATAAATAAATAAAAAATAAATAAATAAATACAATGTTAAACTTTGCTGCTGGTGGAAAGGAACTGGGGCCATTTTGCGACATGCGGTGGAAAGAAGGGGTACTGCTGTTGTTAGATGTACGTTCAGATCTTAGGTGTGGTTTATTATTAGTTCTGCAGATATTCAGGCTCACAGATTGTTTTTGGGTCAAGTTCATTTCTATTTACTGTGAATAAGCAAATGAAAATAAACTTAAAAAATGATGTATTAGTAGCTGAGTGCCCTTACAACACATACCAAGAGAGCTCTCAGATTATGTATTATTATAAAAGCTGCTTTGAGTTTCTCGTTATCTATTTTTTAAAGTTTCATGTTTTCAGCTGCAGCTTGTCAGGTCCCTAATGCAGATGCTCTGGTTAAAGTCTGCTCAGTGATAATTTGACTTTTGGCTTGTGTTGCCTTTTGTTTTTTCACAACTCAGAATATTTTTGAAGTTATCTTGTGAATTCAGAAAAAGAGTTTTATCATTTTTTGGGAGGTTGAATTCAGTATGCTTCCATATACATGCCCCATGAATCGACATTTTAATGTTTTTCACATCCCCTCAGTGCATTTAGTTCATCATTCATCTAATGTCCTCATGCCTCTTGTGTCATCCTGCTCCTTGTGTTCAGTTGAGTGTTATTGTTCTTCTGGTCTTTGGTTTTGCATCCTTAGACTATTTCATTTTCATTTAGTTTTCCTCACCGTTCGTTTTACTTTCCTCCTGTTTTATGTTCTATGCTCCTTTATTATTTATTTATTTATTTATTTATTTATTAAATTAGTTAATTAATTAATTTATTTATATATTTATTTATTATTTCAGTCAATTACTTATCATTTTCTATTCATTCATTCATTCATTTCCAGTGTTTTATTTTCCGTTTGTCAGTGTTGTGTTCACTTAAGTCCGGTTTTGTTTCTCCCTTTGTGTCACACCTGCTAATCATTTTTCTTCACACCTGTTCTCTATTCCCAGTCTATCTATATACTCACCCCAGTACTCCACTCATTGTTGGTTTCTCATGTTGTCCCTGTGTTTTTGGAATAAAGACCTTTTGTTTTGTAGCAGACAGCTGCCTCCTAGAACTCTATACTGTGTGTGGGTCCTCCTCCAAATCCAACTCTGACATTATAAGAACAATGTAGAGGATGGGTATTCAATTCTGCTCCTGAAGGGCTGGTGTCCAGCACATTTTAGTGCTTTCTCTGCTCCAACATGCTTGATTCAATGGTTGAATCTCGTGTGCAGCAGCTCATCAGGCTCTGCAGAAGCCTGCTAATCACCTGTTGATTGAAATCAGGTGTTGAAGCAGAGCTAAAACGAAGGCCCTGTCCACACGTAGCCGGGGATCTGCCAAAACGTAGATATTTTTCCACGTTTTGGCCTGTCATCCACACGAAAACGGAGTTTTTTCACACGAAAACGGATCTTTTTAAAAACTCCGGCCAAAGTGAAGATCTGCGTTTTCTCCGTTTTGGGTGTCTGCGTGTGGACGGACAAAACCGGAGTTTTAAGGTCCGCAACGTCACTTTCCACGACAAAAAAAAAATGCTGACATCACGTGTGCGACCTGTGTTTACACTAGCCGACAGCATGGATGCCCTCAGAGCTGCGCTCGCTTTATCAATTGTCCAAGCGCTTTTTGCTTGTTTGTTTTTGCAAGCGGAATTACTGCTCCTTGCGGAAGACCACAGAAGAAGGACGAGGTTAAGATCGGGGGAAGTACTGCCGCCTACAGGTCTGGCATGTCCTTAACAACGTATTTATCCGGGTACGTGTGGACAGTTTTTTTTTAAAACGAGGTGGTGTGGATGCAAGTTTTTGGAGAAACTTGGATAAATCTTTACTATTAACAATTCAATTTCATTTAAGTTTTTCATGCAATGACCACAGGCACGGGGACACAACAGTTTCAGCTTTAGAAATATTTAGTAAATGTTGGACCTGAAAAAGAAAGCCTCAATTTTAATAGATAAATAATTTCTAAAATACCTGGAAAAAAATAACATTCGTGCATGTGATATATTTGACATGCAAGGAAAATTGTCAATTTGTGTTATCAAGCTGTTTTGCTGCAAGTGAATGAATATAAAGGTTATGCTAACATGATGACTTCAGGTCTAAATAATAGCGATGATGTGATTAACTCATTCACTGCCAGCCGTTTCCTGATCGCTAACGGCCTTCGCTGCCAGCGTATCTCACAGTTTTTACTGTTTTTTAAAGAGTCACAGATCGTTGCGCGCTAGGACGATGTCGACGCCAAAATAACCAAAACAAAGAGGAGACTCACCTCTTACATCAGGAAGAATCTGCGTGTTTCAAGCGTTATCCGTTCTTTCATAATCCGTTGTCGAATAGTGATGGGCAGACACTTTTCCGGTTCGCGCCTCACTTCTTTTTTACAGGAACGGCCCAAAACAATCTCCTAACACATGGATGTTCTGCTTACTGATCACGTGACGTGTGGCATACGTGGATGAAGATCGGCTTCAGGGCTGAGATGTTTGTTCTTTCAGCGCGGGGGCTCGTTCCAATGCTCAAACAGTAAAAAAAAAATGCAAATGACGACTTTAGTCGTCATTGGCAGTGAACGGTTGGATCTAAAATGACGACTTTGGTCGTCAATGGCAGTGAATGAGTTAACTGTTAATTCTGACAGGTGACAGATTAACATCCCTGAGGTAAATTTTGCTGCTAAAATGAGAATCTGGAACAATATTTTGTAATTTATTTACCTTCTTGATAATTAAATATTTTACTTGAACACACATCTGCAAGGCCCCTGAGGATTGACTGGACTGTTAATAACATTTTAGTCTGAAGACTGAATATTCACTCAGACTGAATGGCAAACCTGTCCAACAGGTCCGTAAATGCCTGAAGCAACATTTTAAAGAACAACAACAAAAACTTCCGTCCAACTCACCATCAAGGGCGGAAGGGCCCGGATTCTTATTCTCTTCTGCAAGCATGACTTCCTCTGGAAAACAAATATGAGCAGCACATTTAAGATCGTATGGAAGAATTTATCACCAGTGGGCAGAATTTTACATAAAATCAGTTTATCAGAGCTTTTTTTTTTCTTTCTTATTGAGACGAAGCAGATCTGACTGAGATTAAAGCCACCTGCTCTGTCGATCCAGGCGCGATAGCCGTTGAGCTCTCTTTCAATCTGCTGCTGGCGTCTCAGTTTCATGAAGGCCCTGCGGTTTTCAACCCTCTCTCTTTCTTTGGCAAACTCTCTGCAAAATCATTCCAGATCACACCATTGGTTTTTTACTCTTGAGGACACAGAGGGGGGTGTAAATCCTCTTGGAGACAATCACAGGATAACAAGTTGTTGCACTAAGCTCCTCTCAAAGCTACTCTACCAACAGAAAGAGGAGGAATGAAACAAAAAAGAAGTTAAGCTGCCAAATTAATAAATGTACTTTGTTCTGTAAACTGCAGCTTGAAGTATCTCCTGATGTTTTGGATGGTGTGTTAGATGTGGATTCCTACCCAGACAGGACTCCCAGCACCAGGTTCAGGACGAAGAAGGAGCCGATGATGATCAGAGGAATGAAGTAGAGCCAGTTCCAGGTAGGGCCCAAAGCGTCGTTGGTCTGAGACATTCAAGCATGTGTTAAACCAACATACATGTGAAGTTTTGGAACAGAAGATGAAACTGAGTTGAAGTTACTTTCAAGGTTTGACCAGAAAAGACTTTTTTTCCTTGTATCCAAACCGTGGTTCTTGATGGTAACTCTTCAGCATGTCTGAGAGTTTCCTCTGCTTCAACACACCTGGGCCCAATCCCAATACTCACACTGCACCCTGCGGTCTTCAGCAAAGTTCACTTGGAGGATGTGAGCAGTAAGGCTTTCCAGTGTGTATTGCACAAGTGTGCAATGGGACAGTGAGCATTGTGCCATCAACCGCAACACATGCCGGTCATTGCTTATACTAAGTAAAAAAAAATCTTTATTAACAACTTTCAAACAAACAAACAATTTCTTGAAAAAAATTACATTCATTGCTCTTCACATTAAATCTTAGCATAAAACATTCAGAGCATTAATTAATACCGTTAATCGTCTTAAAATGAACTTCTTATCTTTGAAAATGCATATTTTCAAAAAAGGCACTCGAGCCATTGTTCTGCCTTCTTCTGAAAATTTCCACACAGCAATGGATTGTGGGTAATACCCTTTGTCCAAATCTGCATTGATGCAGACTTGGACGTAGTGCAGATCAAGGATGCAAAAGAGGAGTGGTCAACTTCTGCATTTGAGAATCGTGCTACCCTACTCGATCACACCCCTGGACAGAAACGTGCAACTGAAGGGTGCAAGGGTGGAAGTGCGAGTACTGGGACTGGGCCCTGGTTTTAATCAGTGAGGGACGAACAGGCTCACACAGAGCTTAATGACATGCTGAACTGGTAATTTAACCGTTCAGGTGTTGGAACAAGAAAACAACAAACACATGTTGGCTAGCGGCCCTCAAGGGCAACAGCTGGACACCCCTGCTTTAGGCTTTATGTATAAGCTTATTTTTGTGAATGTTTAAAATATATCTTAATATATATGTCTACAAAAAAACTGTGTAGATATAAACTTTTACTGAAATATATGTTGTAAAGGATCAATTATGGCTGAAATATACATTTGTATGTGCATTAATTTGAGGCTGCATGATGGCGCAGTTGGTAGGACTATAGCCTCACAATGAGAAGGTCACAGGTTCGAATCTTGACTACGATCATGTGTGGCGTTAGCTTGTTCCCCATGAAAGTGTGTGTTTCCTTTGGGTTCTCTGGTTTCCACCAACACCTTAAACGTCTCTAGATGTGAGTGAGTGTGTGAGCGGTTGTATGTCTCTGTGTGACCCTGTGATGGACTGGAGACCTGTCCAGGATGTCCCTCGCCTGATGACTGCGTGGACAAAAGCACTAGCTCTCTGTGACCCTGCTGAGGAAAGGCAGCTCAGAAAATGCGCGAGTGAGTGAGTAAATCTGAATACAGCTGAATCTACGGGTGCTTTACGCTGACGGATCTATCCAGAAAGAACGTGTAAATAATTCAAGCACATTTTTGGGTTTTATTTTTAAAACCCTCTGTTCATACAATATATTCTTCATTTATAGCTGTCAGAAAATGCAACGATAGCAATAGTTTCCAATCGGCTTCCTTTCCTATCTGCAGAAAGTGTTCTCCCTTCCCTCTGACTCACCGATATTAATAAAGAGCTCTGCAGCTCCCCCCCCCCCGTCTGTACTGCAACTTGAGCAGAAAATGAAATCATAGCTGGTTTTACACTGAAAGAGAAAAAAAACCCTCTATGATTATTTTTATTTGCAGTGCTTTGGTGGCTGATGAGCTTAAATTCCTCCAGAACAAAACTACTGATAGGGACGTGCAAAAAATAATTGCTCCAGACTGCCGTTTACTTCATTTTTCCACACACGCCTTCTGCTTTTTGGTTCAAATATTTTCATAAACATAATCAGACATCTAAATATGTCATGTGCTGTTTAAAATGCTGTTACACCTTCAGTAATCTCACATTGTAGAGAACAGTGGTCCACCCCTCCATGGTGATGCACTGGAACACGGTGAGCACAGCAAACAGGATGTTGTCAAACTGGGTGATGCCGTCATTTGGTCCGATCCAGTTTTCGCTGCAGTCATATTTTGCTGGACACTGACGCACGCCACACGGGAACTCGTACTCAATCGAGTCCGCTGTCTCGTTTTCTGAACAGAAAAATGCCCAAAGACCTGCTGTTATTACACAGATTTAATGAGTTTAAATGAACCCAGTGAGCTGTGATGTCAGCCGTCTGAACCCTAATTTCACCGTCTGTGACAGATCTGATCTGTCCTTTCATCTCAGGTGAAACAAGGGTCAACTGGGAGGTTATTGACCACCGTGAATGAGCACTGCCATTGTGGTGCGCCGCATTGTTCCTTGTATTCATCCAGAACAGCAAGGCCAGATTGGTTTGATCTGGTCTGCAAGTGCAGCATGATGTTTGATGTTCACACTGGTGATTCTGAGCAGAGTGACCAATCTTAAGAGCTTTGTGAATATGCATGACACAGCAAAAACATACAACACAATGAACAAGAACGTTTGAGCCCAACTCTGATTTTGAAGGTCAACTTCACTCATAGTTTGATACATTTGCAGTGGTCTCTAGTAGGAATGAATCAAATGTTATCTGGGAAAATAGCTCCGGTGTGCCTGTTTCAGGATGTGGAAGTCAGCTGGAGGAGAAAGTGGCAGCAGAAGGCAGGACTTGGAGTTTATTACCTGATGTTTGGACATCTCGCCTCTGATTGGTTAAATCTGCTACAGCAAATTAGCAAACCAGCTAGGCTGGTCACTGAACACTCACCCCTCTCCTCGGGTATCTTCTAGTTCATACCGTGGTTTTGCCCGTAATCCATTTTTCACAAAACCGTACAAAAAAATGTTTTTTTTTTCTATCTATGTTTTATCAGAAGGTAGTACCGGAAATAGGGGATAGGAGACTATTTTCATGTTCAGCCTGCAAGAACAACTCACAGTTATTAACTCATTCACTGCCATTAACGACTAAAGTCGTCATTTACATTTGTTTACTGTGTGGGCATCAGAACGAGCCCCCGCACCGTGAGAACAAACATTCCAGCTCTAAAGCCGATCTTCATCCGCGTATGTCACATGTCACGTGATCAGGAAGCAGAAAATCCATGTGGTAAGCCTGATTCGTGCTTCTTCGTCAGCTCCAAAAGGGAGAGACACACACGCACGGACGGAGACGTTTTGCCCTCATACTCTCCTGGGGAGTGTTGCAAAGCAATTCCCCACCAGGACAGCAGAGGGCGTAGCGCTGTTCTGTGGTATCCTGTCATGTATCCGGTCCAAGATAGTGTGTTTATATTGTGTTTTTTGTATAAGAGACTTTTTAACACGGACAAATTTGTCCCTCATCCTCCTCCACCTCTTCATGCGCTCGCCACCTCTAAACCCACGTTTCCTGTCATTTCCGTCCACAAATAAAATGCTTGCTGCGCATCTTTTCACTCCTCCAGTCACGGAGAATTAAACGTTCATGTTTTTAGAGTTTTTTCGCGAGGTATTCTTCAAGTTGTTCCGTGTCTGCCGCTAGTTATCCTCGGCTCTCATTTATGTTTTTGAGGGCGCAATGGCGGCGGTGTAGACCAGTGGTTCCCAACCTTTTTCCCAAGGGACCCCTTTTTTACCAGTAAAAGTAAGACGACCCCCTCCCATTCTCTCTTCCAGTACAAACAGTATTAAGAAATTTATAAAATTGTTCAAGCACATTTTAATATGCTTTGATTCAATAGATAACAGTAATAGTAGGCTCCAGTACAGAATAAAGTCACTAACAAAACCAAACAGAGCATAATGTGCTTGACAGTTTGTATTACTTTTCTGAACACATTGTTTCTTGTAAACACCGATAAATCAATCATTCTTTTCAATAAACGTTTGACACATAAAAAATACACTGAGCAAAATGTACTTAAATGTGTATATTACTGTTTATAATAGTTTATTTACTGTAAAGGCTGTGATTAATCAACCAGTCCTATCTTTAATGAACTTTTGACGCTTGAAAATAAAACAGTGAGCTGAGCAAAATGTTCTTAAAAGTGTGTTACTTTTTCTGTACTAATTATTTCCTGTCTTAATATCAGTAAACTTTTCACTCATGAAAAAAAATGTGTGCAAAACTCAGGCTATAAACAAGTAATAAATGAAGTTTTAACCCCTTAAAGTGGAGAGGTCCGGGCGACCCAATGAGAGGCTTTGGCGCCCCCTTGTGGGGGTCGGGACCCCCAGGTTAGGAACCACTGGTGTAGACTACAGCGGCGTCCTGACCAATCACAAGCTTACGTTGCCTGTCTCGACGGACGGATATTTAGAAAAGAGAGCTTGACTCCGTCCGTCCTTGCTGGGCTCTCCAGCAGGCCCGCAAGGATGGATAATGGCCTTGCGTGTCTCCGCACTGACGCAGACGGAGAAGCATGAATCAGTCTTTAGGAGATCCTTTTGGGCCGCTGCTGTAAAAAAAAAAGTGAGGCGCGAACCGGAAAAGCTTCTGCCGATCACAATTCAGCAACAGATTCTTGCTGATGGAAGAGGTGAGCCTCCTCTTTGTTTTGCTAGTTTTGGCGTTGACATCATCATTAGCACAACGTTCTGTGACTCCTTAAAAAACAGTAAAAATGCAAATAAACGCTGGCAGCGAAGGGCTTTACTGATCAAGAAACGGCTGGCAGTGAATGAGTTAAACATTTTCAAAAATAATAAGTAAAAGAAGGTTTCTCGGTGAACCTGGCCTTTAAGCTCTGTAAATTAGTTTGGTTACTTCTTTACATTTTAATCAGGTTTAGACAAATGATTACAAAAAGAGTCAAAAAGAGCTATGTGTATGTTTACCCAGGATTCCGGGCTGCGGTGTGCAGGTCTTGTGCAGCTTTCCACTGTAAAACTCCAGGCCGATGATGGCGAACATGAGGATGGCAAAGAACAGGAGCAGACCAATCTGCAGCAAAGGCACCATGGCCTTCATTATAGACTTCAGGACAATCTGCAGACCTGAAAATGAGGCGCACATGTTGAGTTCATAACATGAAAGCACAACTCCTAATACCACTTTAATATGATATGTTTAAGGATGATTTATGAAAACATGACCAGATATCAGTGGAGTAAATTAATATTTGAGTTTTAATTGAATATACAACTTATACTGTACGTCTGAGACTGTGAGCTGGAATATTTCACACTCACTGGGAATTCCTGAGACCAGTTTGAGGGGTCGTAGTACTCTCACAGCCCTCAGAGTCCTCAAATCCACTGAGATGTTCATATGAGCCCCTGCTGCAGCCAGGATCCTAATACAAACCCACAAAAGCAGAAGACACACTCAGAGCAAAACCGTCACATGAATACCAATATTTCACGCCGTGTAATCCATGTGGAGCTCTGTCTACACACTTGTAAACACACACACAGGCACGCACAGTGTTGGCGGAAGGCTGCTGCACTTAGATATCAAGCATGATGATGTGAAGCTCTCCAGTGAAGATAACAAAATAGAAAACAATAAGGATGCTTCTTTTCTTTGGAGTTTTTGGCGGGTTTTTGTATGTGTGGGAGGATGGCGGTGACAACAGCTGTTTAGGAGGACAATAGCACCATCAGGAGAAGACTGGATACCCTTAGGTTGGAGAGGTTCCAAACACAAGAACGCTTCACACACAGAGACCTTATATCAGCTACTCAAAGTTTGATTTTCACTCTACTTGATGACGTCTCCTCCTCTCCCTCAGCTCTGTAGATACACCTCTGTGGCCTTCAGCTTTCAGAGTGATGAGAAAGGGAAACAGTATCTGGTGATCTCAGCCCTCATTAGTCTGCCCTTCTGTCTGTTTTCTCTACATTTCCTTCATCTTTAGACCTTTCTGTTTTTTTACACTTTTGTTTTGACCCCTTTTCCAATTATGCTTCACCACAGATTTTAATTTTCTTGTTTTTTCCACTGAAGTGACCACCTTTATTTTTCTTTCAGCTGGGTGCTTACAGAGAGAAGGATGAATATGAGGAGTCATGTACAAACAAAACGAAAGCAAAGAAAACAGGAATATTAAAACAAATTTTTCCTTTTGATGGGGGCATATTATGCCTTTTATTTTCTCAAGTTAAAATAACTTTATGGTTTATAGAAAACCTGTTCATTGCGTTCTTCACGTCGCATAAAGTGATTTCAGCAGTATCAGTACCTTCCAGAATGAGCTGTTTCAGGGCTCTGTCACTTTAAGAAAACAAACTGGGGCTGGCCACGCCCACCCCTCCCTCACTCAGGCTGCTATAAAATGAGAAGTTCCGATATCCGGGAGAAGCCCGGAGTAAGCTGCCATGGAGAGGTATGCAAATTTCCATTTTTGTGATGTTACAAATGGGGATTTTTTGAAACGGCTTATTTTAGACACATAATAACTCAAAACAAAAATTGACAGAAAACGAATGGGGTTTTACACATTTGGAGTATTTTTAGAGGCATTAGAGAATCCACATGACAGCACAAAAAGAGGCAAAAGGTGTGTTATGCATAAAATGTCCCTTTTGAAGCTTTAAAGTAATAATTGTCAGTCTAAAGGTCTCCAAACTCCAAAATTGGCAACACAGCTGTATGGAAGCACACAATTGTTACTGAAATACAAACATAAATGTGCAACAGCATACACAGCCAACAGAACACAGAATAAGAGATGTGAAAAAGAAATGAATACATTATATATATATATATATATATAAATATATATATATATATATATATATATATATATATACATATATATATATACATATATATATATATATATATATGTATATATATATGTATGTACATATGTGTGTATATACATATATATATATATATATATATATATATATATATATATATGTATATATATATATTTATTTATATATATATATACAGATATACATATACATTTTTTAAAATTAATTCATGAATTTCTTTTTTTTTTACTGTGTAATTGCAGATTTCAAATCATCACTGTCAAAAGTTATTCACAGGACTGCATAAAACTCCTTCATAAGGTGGGTGTATTCCTACATGTTCAAATTGTAACTTGAGATTTATTTTAAAATTAAACGTATCCAAAAGAAAAACCGACACTTCAAGGTCAAAATGAATGAAACATCACACAACATATTACCCTGCATTTATAGGGTAAAACAAATCACACAGCTCTCTGTTTCCCCGTTTTCTTCCCCAACGCACAAAAATAAAATAAAACTAAAGCCATCTTGGAGATCAAAGACCAAGTGAAGAAAAAATGATTCAAATGTAAAAAAAGAGCAAACGAGCTGCAGAAACTCTCAGTGAACTGCCATCCTCTCACTTTGACAGCCATAAAGCACACCGACCGTCTGGACGTTGGCACGCCATCCTTAACGGAGACAGGAAAGGTGAAGGTTGGCCACAGAATATGGCAGGTTTTTTTCTGCCGGGGGAAGCACGACACATGGCCGATTTGGCACGCATAATGAATCTGGCAAATAATTTGTTTCCTCCCTGTAGTTTTCCCTCAGCCTTTTTCCTCAGATTCCTCTTTTTAACGCTTTTTTAAAACATTGGTTGGATTTATTTAGTAATATAAACAAAATAAATTAAGTGAAAAGAGTAACTGTTTACTCTTCAGTGGATTATTAGCCGCATATTGTCTTCATTTACCAAACAAACTAAGAATTCCATGCTGAGGAAAATCTAACATAAATAAAGAAAATGACAGCATTTTGATTGTTGGTTTCATTTGCATGTATGAGATCTTCAAACCAGGCTCCGCAGTGGCGCAGTGGTTAGAGCTGTTGCCTTGCAGTGAGAAGGTCCTGGGAGTTTTCATGTTCTCCCTGTGCATGCATGGGTTCTCTCCGGGTACTCCATCTTCCTCCCACAGTCCAAAAAACATGACTGTTAGGTTGATTGGTCTGTCTAAATTGTCCTTAGGTTTGAGTGTGTGTGTGCATGACTGTTTGTCCTGTGTGTCTCTGTGCTGCCCTGTGATGGACTGGCTCTCTGTCCAGGATGTACCCCGCCTGATTGCCCATTGACCGCTGGAGATAGGCACCAGCCCCCCCACGACCCTGCATTGACAAAGCGGGTTCAGACAATGGATGGATGGATGGAGATCATCAAACCAGTTTAATGGGAAGGGGTGGCTCATTGTCAGACACCTGCCAGAGCTGTACATCTACATACTAGCTGTCATGCAACTAATATGATGTTGTATGTAGAGTTTCAATCAGCAGCCCCTCATTTTGTTTTAACTTAACTAAAAACAGATCAAAGTTTGCATCACAGTTGAGAGTTTTCCCGAGGGTTATTTTGACTGAAACCAGAAGTGGTGGATTTCTGGACCCTGAGCTCATGGACAGCACGTTTCTGACAGGTGCCTGCTAGCTCTATAAGTTAATAAAACACATTTTATTCGCTGTGAGCCATCACACACAGATGATGCCCTGCTTCGAGTTGTCAGCCATGATAAGTGAGAACCAATGATAAACCCCACAGAAGCAACAGTTTCTTGCTGTGTGACAAATCTGTTGTGACAGCCGTCAAGCTCTGATGCTGACAACATTGTGACTTATGCTCCATGTCGTCGACGAGCCGCTGACTATCCTTACGAAGAACTGACCTGATGATTATTATCATATAGAGCACGCCTTTGTAATGCAATGACAACCAAATTACTAAAATAATAAACACATTTTAACTGGTAGGATTCTCACAGCAGGAACTTTCAAGCCTTTTAAAATATCTGAAAATATGAGGATTGCTTAAAGAGAAGAAAGTTAAACATGAATCTTGAAAACAACCAAAAATCTGGTTTGAGTGCAAAGACCCAGACGTAAAAATCAAAGATGTTACATGGTTTCACCACAGTGAAGTTGTGTAAAACACACAACCCAGGTCTGTAAATGTCTCTAATGATGATTCTAATTCTAATTAAAAAAAGGTTGAATTTATGATTCATGTTTTTAATGTCCAGGAACTTTTGTATCTAACTGCTGAGTCATCAATATTGGTGTTGAAACGGCTCAGCATATGGAAGGTGACGTGGATGTGTGTGTGTGTGTGTGTGTGTGTGTGTGTGTGTGTGTGTGTGTGTTAGCAGATTGTCTTATCAGAAAAAAAATGTGTGGAGGAGCTCCTATAGTCCTGCTCTGGTTTCTTTGGTTGATGTAAGATCCTTTGCCTCCCACAGTGTACTCTCTTCTTCTCTTCCCCCTCATTTGTCCTCTTGTTCTCCATAAAATACACACACACACACACACATGCGCGCAAGCACGCACGCACACACACACACACACACACACACACACACACACACACACCTAAATAATTTTAAGGCGCTATATAAAATCAAAAGCTGCAGCTTCTTCCTGTGGAGTTGGGATCTGCTGTGAAGCAACCTGCAAACAAATTTGGATATTTAGTTACAAAATGGTAAGGAGTGCAGATGATTCGCCATGGCAACCCGTGAAGAAAAATGCCAAAAGAAAAAGAAGAGCAACAAGAGCAATCTTTGGTGGCACTGGGTCCCATTTTAGACCCTTTATGGTATGGCCCGACGGGGATTTGAACCCTAATCTCCCAGTCGCAGGGAAGACACTCATACTAGGCCACTGTTGTATAAACTTAATGAGGTCTTTAATCACAGTGTGGATAAAATCCCCATAAGCCCTATCTGCATCTGAGCTATTTCAGATAACAACCTGTTGGGAGGACCCAGATGCAGACATGCAGGTTCCAAACTTCATCAGCAAATCTGAAAGAGGAGGACTGAGCGAGGCTAAGGCCAACCAGGACTGTGTACACTGGGAGGGAGAAGTTGCAAATGAGAAACTGAAAAAAAAAAAGTAATTAAACTCTGAAGTCCAATAGTCTAACACAGAGGTGCCCAAACTTTTTCCTAAAGAACACTTACCAAAAGATGACAAATACGTCACATATAGGTATTTCAAGAAGAAAAATAGAACTTCTGTCTGTAATTATAATCATTCGTAGTGTAAAACGTCAGCATGCCTGCCCAACAATAACACACCAACAGGGAGAGCAACATTAAAATGGCACTACTAATGAGAAACATGAAGCTGCTCTTTGACATTTATCAACTTTTCAACATTAGGCTGCAGCTGACTCACTGAGAGGGTGAGGGTGTCCTGTAGGTGTGGGTCAGTCAGAGTGCTTCTGAGCCTGGACTTGTTCAGGTTGATCACACTGAAGGTCTGTTCACAGACGTATGTGCAGATAACATGACTTGTTCATGTTTCCTAATGTCTGAGTCCCTTGCCGATGAGACATGTG